CAACAAAAGTAATTTATCATTCTTTTCCAATTTCATTTACAGTGATGGAAAAAAGTATTTGCACATCATGTTTTTATGAATAATTGAGTTCAAGGAACCAAAAAACTTCGCTTTCCTCTGCAAAAATGGAAATTACATTTGTTAAAAACTGAGGAAAATCTTTTGGAAAAAAATGACAACATTCCATAATGAAACAAAAAAATTAAAACAATAAAAGTGCTTGGAAAAAAGTATTTGCACACAGTGACTCACAAGCTCTGTTTACTTTGACATTAATCCTCCTGCGTCCATAGGTCATAGGTTTGTTTACTAATTTATCTCTAATCGTTTATTACCAGTATTCTCTAGTCTTTCAATCAGTTTCCTTTAGTCAATGGAAAATTATCATGCCAAAGACAAGTGAACTGTTTGCCGCGACTCGCGAAAAAACTTTTTTACTGAGGAGTCAGCAAAAAACATATCGCCAAATTGCCGATTTCTTAGGGTTGAATTTTTCTACAGTCATCGTCATAAAAAGGTATGAAGAACGTGGTTTAACTGAAAACAGTGAGCGTAAAGGGCGTCCAAAAAAGTTAACTCCCAGGCTGAAGAGGAAAATCAGAAAAGAAGCTCTTAAAAATCCTCTGATAAGTTCTCGGGAGCTGGCTACCATGGTCCAATCAACGTATGGAGTTCAGATTACTAGCAGAACAATTAGATATGCCCTGAATTCGGAAGGGCTCCATGGTAGAGTTCCAAGAAAGAAGCTATACATCATTGAAACGAATCGCAAAAAGCACCTTGCTTTTGCTAGAGAGTACGTACAGAAACCCTTAAGCTTTTGGGAAAATGTCATCTTTTCTGACGAAAGCAAATTTAATTTGTTTGGTTCAGATGGTAGAAAGACGATATGGCGACATCGTAATGAAGCCCTAAAGAAGCAAAATGTTTTAACAACTGTAAAGCATGGTGGAGGACATGTTATGGTTTGGGGGGGTGTGTTTCCTACCATGGCGTAGGAAATCTTGTGAGCATCTAAGGCATTTTAAATGCTGAAGGCTATGTGAACATTTTGCGACGTAATTTGCGTGTTAGTGTCGAAAAAATGGGAATCCAGGATCAGTACTATTTCCAGCAGGACAACGATCAAAAACCTACTGCGAGAAGAACAAAGGAGTGGTTAATATTTAATTCCAAGACAGCTCCAAACTCCTCCTCGATCACCAGATATAAATATCATTGAAAATTTATGGCACACCCTTGACCAAAATGTAAGAAAATACCATATCACATATCACAGTGGACATCACCTTAAACAACTTCTTGTTCAAGAATGGAAACAAATAAACGTAGATTTAATTAAAAACCTAGTGTATTCAATGTCCTGACGTCTACAAGCAATTATTGACGCCAATGGCCTATTTACAAAATATTAAAATTTAAAATAAACTTGTAAATGTGGAAGTGTACAAATACTTTTTTCCAAGCACTTTTATTGTTTTAATTATTTTGTTTGATTATGAAGTGTTTTTATTTTTTTGTAAAAAGGTTTTTTCAGTTTTTAATAAATTTACTTTTCATTTTTGCAAAGGAAAGCGAAGTTTTTTGTTTCTTTGAACTACTTTATTCATAAAAACGTGTTGTGCAAATACTTTTTTCCATCACTGTAGTTATTGTTTGTAGTAGCTATTTTGCAGTACTGTGACCTTATTGCTCATATCTTTTCTTTAATATATCTATATAACTATGTAAATACTTCTCTTATTACTCAAGTTTTAATTATTCTTTTATTTTAATATGAATTTTGGCCAGATTTAATGTTAATTTTTTATGATCAATATTGTTATTCTTAAGGGACTTTGTCCCAGAATAAAGTTGATTCTTCTACTCTATTACAAGTTTTGTACCATTCTCAAATTTAGATAATTCGAAATAAGTAAAGAATATATTTGTTTGAAAACTTGGATTTTCAACATTATACCAACCCAAACCACATATTAAAAAAAATCACAGCTACCATAATTTTTGTAAACAGCCCGTAATTTTCAAGATGATTTGACTAATATTTTAGATTCCAGGATAATATAAATATTTTTCATTTTTTTTTTATTGACATTTTAATAAATATTTTGAATACTATTTAGCCTTTTAATGTAAATGGAATGCAGGTCATTTTCATATCAAATAATTAATTAATTATTAAAAGCATTAACTTTATGCTTTTAAATAGTTGGCTATGATTTAGTTTTTTTGTTTTTTTAACAGAAAAAGTAAGATGACATTTCTTACCAAGAAATACCTATTGTTATTCTATCTACACTTATCTTTATAGAACTTCTCTGAAGTCTTAAATATCCCAAAGTTCCAGTTTTTGACTTATACTACTTTTGCAGTTTAATTATAGAACAGTAAAAGCCAGTAAGTTATAACTGAAAAAAAAACATGTACGTATTTAGGAGTTACTTCATACCAAAGGAAGATATCTGTAATTTTCGGAAAGTTGAGAAAAAAACAGTTTTTATAGTCTAGCTACAAATTAAACCAATACTGATCTATAATTGCACTTTAACTTTATTTTAAAAAAATCACCAGCATTGGTTTTATTTGAAGATATATAAGTTTAATTGGATTTTTATCATATTTCTGAAAATAGTAAATTTTATATTCCACCTCAGATTTTAAGGCACTTCTATAGATATTATCAACAAGAGCTTGGAGAAACAAAAGAGCCCAGGGATAATTTTATCAGACTCCCGATAAGTTTTAAATTTACCACTAAAGTCCAACCAAAGCCTTTCATAAAGTATGCAACAAAATATTATGTAAGTATATTGCATAATTATTATATAATGTAGCCATGTTAATGAAACTTTATTTTAATGTGGATTTAGAAGTTAACAAATACAACTTTGGATTATTTTTACCTGGGAGGCAACTCCAGCTGCTCTCCTCTCCTAATCAAAGTCTAGATTTTTATGATATTGCATTATTTGTTTTTCAGCAGTTTTTAAATTGTTGATCAAATATTTTTACTAATCAGTGTACCCAGAGGCAATTAGACAAATTTTATATTGCATATTTTGCAATCAAATAAAAAGAATAATAATAATTAGAAATAATGAGTTAAACTGAAACATCAAAGATGAAATTCCGTAATACCATTGTAGGTTCATTTTCAATCAAAAAATAACATTAGCTTCAGTTATTGACTTCTTAGAATATGTTTTTTTTTTTTTTTTTCATTCCCTGGATTTTTATCACTTCCTGTCATTCCTTTTAACTTCTAAACTCCAGATTTAGTTTTATTATTTCACTTTTTTTAAAAGTAAAAAGTAATGTTTTAAAAGTAATAATTAATTTCTTCAAAATTGAAATATTTGATCGACCCTTACGATTACAAACATGAAACACTTTTTTAATTCATTGCAAGGTCCTTTTTACTTCTATTGTTCAAAGCAAGTTTCTATGAAAACAAGTCAATAATTTTAATTGAATACAAACTTGTTTCTGTCACATCTGTAATATTTTTTTTTTCAATTTTGAAGAATAGAAGATTAGATTTTAACAAACTTTTTTTTCTCTCTCTTCAAACTTCTATCCGTACCTGTCATAGTATTGAAAATAAGCATATGTCATCTCATTGTAAAGAAAATTGGCATTTAAGGCATGAGGAAGATTAGTACCTCTTCCTGGTCTTGGTCTACTTCATAATTTAGGAAAGGAGATCTCTCATCCAGCTCCTCTTTAATCGTCTCCTGATGGGCATGTCAGCTGTGGCCATGTCGTTATAGTCCGATAAGTCCGTTGTGATGTCTGTGTAGCTTAAGATGAAATCGGGAGTAGAGTACGTATGTGTTGATTGATAGTCGGTTGTTGTAAGTCGGTGTGTAAAGTTTTGTTGTTTAGGTACCAGGGAACTGCTGTTACTAGTCTTAAAATTTTTGATTCAAATGGTAGTAGTTTTTGTTAGTGCGTCTTTTTTGCAGAACTGTAAATTTATGAGGTGTATGTCCACATGGGTTTGAGTAGATTAGTGAACGTATTTAGTTTTTGTCTGATTTTCAATTCTGATTTGGAAAAAAAAGGACTATAGTATTTTCTGTTGTTTGTTCAAAGTCTTTCTTTTCACTTGTTTTGTTTGACATGTGGGCTCCAGGTCATCCTTCTGTCGAATAATGGCCCTAGATAACGTACAGTGTCAGTCTGAGGAATCTGGTTGTCGCCGATATAAACTGGTGGGCATGTGTCTCGTCGAAGTGTAAATGTAAATTTAGTAAGTGATTTTGTATATTCAGTGAGGCTAATCTGGGGTTATGGTGATTTGTTAAAAGTGTTGTATTATCAGCATAAGTAGCAGTCAATGTTTCGGAAGTGGTAGGCATGTCATGCGTATAGATAATGTAAAGTAAAGGAGCCAATATTGATCCTTGAGGTACTCCTGCCGACACTGGTTGAATTGAGGAAATTTCTAAACTCTGTCAGACAGAGAAAAACCTGTCGAAAAGGAAAGACTAAAGAATTAGATAGCATGTATGAAGTGGTATAGTTTAGATTTTAACAAACAAATTTAGAAATGCATTTATTAAATTTGATCAGATTTTACTTATTTATCTTTTTTTAGTTACTAAGATTTTGTTAGAACTTTAGTGTAATTGAATATTATAGATGTTTTATTGCATATTTAGAGATTTATTCATTGCATATTTCATGTTATGTTACTGCATAACTTTCTGTATATCTGAACATCTTTTATTGCATATTATGTGGCATACTTTGTGGGTTTTTACTGGATACAAATCAGGGCCCTGATCATAAATAAATGTATGGAAACATAAAAATAGTAAAAGTTTGATCAATTTTTCTTTTTGTACAATTATAAATAAGAACTTTCTATTAGAAACATTTCTATTTTTAATATATTCCTTTTTGTTTTGAATTATACTAATTTTCAAATGTTATCACCAGCTTGGTAAATACATAAGCCTATTTACTTCAAATGTAAACAATAGCTTATTTCTTGCATTAGTCTCTTATTGGTGAAGTCAATAGATTAATTTCCAGCTAAGAGTTACACTTTATATTAAATTTCATTTATTCTAGGTGTTCATGAAGGTTTGTAATTTCCTATCCATTTTCTCCTTGTGTTTAATGTACTAATGTTATAATCTGAAGTTATTTTTCTTCTGTCAATTTTTGTTAATAATTTAACAATTACAACAAACAATGAATACATTTATGAGCAATTGACTTTTAGATGAGTCTTGAGTTAAAAATGCTCAAATACTGTACCTTAACAGGTGTTATGTAATTGAAGTATCGTAACATGTCTACCAGTCTGTGGTCTACATTAAACAAAATATTATGATGGTACTTTAAATGATTTTTTTTTCATAAATATTTTCTTGTAATTATAATATAACAGCAACAAAGATTATGATACAGACTATAAACTTTTATAACAGACTGATTATTTTTTTTTCTTTTATTTGCTTCCATAATTCGTAATATCTGTTATAACAATCCTCAGCTAAATTCAGTTTGAGAACAGTAAACAAAGGTTCTGTTAATGAATTTTTCTCCAGGCACTCGAAATATTCTCTCTTTTTTTCACAAAATAAGAAAAAATAATTGGCAGAAACAGATAGTTTTTTAACGAAGACATTAAATTTTAAACAAGTCACTTGATTTGAAGTTTGAGTTGCCATATCAAATATAACATTATGAATTTCTGACAAAGGATGTTAAGATCTGATAATAAAACCATGTTTTATGTTCAGATTCCTTATACTTAACTTTAGATAGGCTTATAGATAACTAATTCAGGTTTTACTTTTTACAGAAATGTGTGGCAATTACTTTTATCCTATAAAGGTAACCTTCACTCTAATACTTCTATTATTTCTACAATGGAAATTTGCAGCATTCCGTAAACCAGAAGTCAAATTTAAACAATTTAACCTAGAAAAAAATGATGATTATATTATTAATCCATTCAGAATAAATATTCCAGAATCTGTAAGTAATCTTTTATAAAGAGTTCATTTTAAAATGTAAAATTTATAAATAATAAATGTGAAATTAAATTATACTTGAATCGAAAATTACTATTATTGGTATTCAATATTATAGGATTTGATCGAACTCCAAAAAAAGCTACTAACCACAAGAGAATTACCACCTTCAATAAAAGATGTAGGCTTTAATTATGGAGCTAATTCCGAATATCTAAACAAATTTATAGAATATTGGAAAAATGAATATAATTGGAGAGACAGGGAGCGTTATCTCAACCAATTACCACAATACATAACACGAATTTCAGGTCTAAATATACATTTCATTCGTGTGAGACCAAATGAAACAGTTGCAAAAGGTAGGTTACTATTTTATTTGTAATTGAAGTCCTTCATGAACTATATTATTATCTAATTAGATTATTAGAAAACTTTCTTTGGGTAAAATTGTAAATATTATTGACAATGACTTCTCCAATCAAATAATTTACTTTGAGGAAACATAGATCAATTAAAATGGATATAAAGAAATATTAATTCTCAAAAATGTAAATTTGCTTACATTTTTTCAGTAATACTTTTTAAAAAATTAAATCAAACTAAATAACTAAGAATTCAGTATTTTTCAATTAAATTATATAACAAGATAACTATTTGAGCGTTATTCAAGATACTAATTAGTATTCATTATGAGTTTAATTTCATACATGTATATATTAGTCCAAGTGCTCATGTTAATAAATTAACATCTGAAAAAAAATTTGAAAGCATTTTTTTTTAATATTAATAACATTTATACTTACAAATTGAGGGTGCCAATCAGTATCATGCTACATTAAAAAATAGTAACTAATTTTAACAATATTAGGCTAATCATTCTTTAAATCAGCTACCATTTTTTCTGGTAGCATGATCTGACTGATAGACTCTCAGTTTTTTAATATAAGTGTTATGAAGAAAAAAGTACAATAAAACTGTACAGCTGCACATTCTTGAATTGCTAAAACACCCAGCATGCTGATAAATCTTAATCGACAATATTTAGAAAGAGAGAATAGAAAAGGGATAATGATCTGTGGGCCCATCATCCGAAGTACAGAACGTTATAATTTATTCATTCATTGCTATAATTGTCTCCTCCATACCACATCTGTCCATAGAGATGACCAGAATTAATACAAGTGATGGTGCAAAGTTCTTATTGAGTCCAGAATAATAGATTCTACTATATTCCATAGATGGCTCCTTTCCACCCTTAGCTTTGCTAAGAAATCAGCAGTTAAAAGTGAAGTCATCCCTCTACTTCCGAACCAAATTCCTTGAACTGAAAATTCTCTCTTCCCAAATTCCTCTCTATATTTCTGCTGTAAGTACGGAATGTACTTTTTATAGATATCCTCTCTTTCCTTTTGTAATTTGAGATCTTGATCTTCTAGACCAGTAACCTTGTACAGCCTAAGTTGCATTAAATGGGGATATATGATTTTTTTTTTCATCTTCTTAAATAGGGTATGGCTGAGATTTAAAATCAAAGTTTTCGACCTTGGCGCTCACCCCCCCCCCCAGATCACTTTTGAATATCCCAAAAACTGCTATATTTTCGCACTTTTTTTCATTTTTTCAATATTTTGGCCATGAAGCAGCTTTCGACGATAACCACTGTACACTTTTCCAAACTAGACTGAATATGCTACAATTTAAGACCAAAAAAAGGCTGGGTAAATGAAATAATTAACGAGGTACAGGTTTTCAAAGTTTGGAAAATTTCATTTTCCATTTAAATTATTTTTCATGTTTGATCATATACAACTGTCATTTATATTCAATAACCTGTCTGATATGAATCAGTGAAGTTAATATTTATTCATTTTAATATTTTGAAGGAGGTATCATAGAGGGGAGAAAGATTTGGTGGAAGATGATAATCCGTGGGCCAGACCCCCTCCTGTGCACCTTCCCCCCATATCATTATAAATTGCATATCGTTGTGTTCCTTTGTAGATATGTATTAAAAACAAAAGCCAATTAAAAATATCACACAGAAGATAAAGAAAATACAAAATAGAAAGAGGTTGAAGAACAGGAAACTGAAGTATGAAGACAATTTGAGAATAAAGCATTTCTTTAAAATAAAAAAAACTATTTCTATGGAACGGAGTGAGAAAAAGGAATCAATTCTAAATTCTGGTTGATCATTTGGTATTAAAGACTAATAGGAAATGGACAATGGATACGGAATCGGAATTTTGGATAATTAAAAGAGGTAAGTGAAAAAATCATTGTTAGAAACACAAAAAGTAAATTTAGTCCACCAAATACTTAAATAATAATTTATTAAAAGGTAAATGCAGAATTAAGAACAACTTACCAAAAATATTGACCTTCATAACGTTGAACTTTACCTACTTTTTATTTAGATATATTTTTAAATTATGAAGATTATAAGTACCAACTAGATGTTTAGATAAATATTAGTTAAATACCACAATCAAAAGTCAGTTTATTTTTATAGAAGATCATTCCTGGAGAACACATCTTTAGTTTGGATCAAGTATTTTTTTTTTTTTTTTTTTTACTATCGTAAGTAGATTTATTTTGAAGTCATTAGGAAATAGTGACCCTGAGTAGGTATAGACAGATTTCCTTCTTACATCCCTAAACTAGGAAAGGTACTATAATTTGTTTATATATAATAAGGTAAGAAACCTTTATTTTGAGAAGACAAAGAGATCTTCTATGATACTCACGGTGAATGAGTTTGTGTTGTAATGATCCAAGGTGTAAATAACTAAGATCATCAAAATTAATGGAGCACACTTGTTTTTACTGTGGGACTTTACTGCGCATATTACTGCTACGTATCAAAATGGGGTTTTGATAGATTTTTAACGGGATGCCACTGGTAATTATTGAAGATAACTATCCAGAATTAATTAATAAAATATTAGTTAAACAAATTATGTCATTTGACATATTGGTCCTTGATTAATTTATTGGATTACTTCTCACAAAGGCTTGTTGTGTGTTTATCTGTTCTCTAATTACCAAACATTACCTGTGCTTATAATGAAAGAAATAGGTGGCATGATTAAAATAACTTTTATGTACAAATTATGTTTATTTACAAATGATATAAGAAAGAATGTTATACACATTATATTTACAAAAATTAATGAACTATACAATTGGTTGTGAAGGCATGATTCAGATGGATGGAATTTAAAATTACATTGCCATTAAATATTTATACATCTTTAGAAAGGAATTGTTGGGAATTACTTATCTAATACGTTATTTGAGGTGCGAAGTTGAGATCATCTTTGTTCAGGTAGGTCTTCAACAGTCCTCCAACCAGATAAAAACATCAGGGACCTCCTCAGTGCCGGGCAGCTACATCAGGCCTCTCTTCTATCAGCCTCTCCTCATCCAGCTGTCCTCAGCTGAGTCCCAAAAAGAAGTGTCTTCAGCTGAGTCCCAAGAAGAAGTGTCTTCACTTTTTTCTTCTATCCCCCTCAGTAGATCTTGTTTTCCATATCTAGGGTGGGGCAAGCATGGTTCCTATTGGTTGGAGTATTGGCAGAAGGGATGACCACACCCCCAGTGTTATGTTGAACACACCCCTTTTAGCAGGTACACGACCGTTTCTTCCTATGCTTAAGAGTTAAAAGCTTTTTGATCCTCTTTAAACGGTCCTTTGGTGTTTTTGGCCGACATGTGTCGTCAAGTACTTCTATTGCTAGTGGGTGTGCTAAGAGTATTCTCAAGAGTGCTAAAAGGTTACCTCAGAGGATTATTAGGTATCCCGACCACTATCTAAGTAACCACTTACAAAAGGTTGGGTCGGGGGTTTCAGGTATCCACCCAGGTGTTAGAAATTATTTTTAAATATTATTAATTATCATTAGGCTATGTTCAATACATAGCTTTACATCTAAGCAGGCTTATCAAAATTTGTATTATAATAGCAGATTAACTAAGCTTTTGTTGTATTTTTCATAGGGTAAAAATCAAAATCAATAGGTTGTTGTTTATAAAAAAGGAACTCCATGTCTCAAAACTACTATATTCTTTTAATTTATAAATAAATATATTTTTTACTATTATTATTGAGAATTGAAAAGGATTTGTCACAAAATATTACTTTAATATAAAATATTAAGCATGTGAATAGTAGTCATGTTTGGCATTGTAACACAGAGAGAGGTAGAAAAGTGGAACATATTGAGATGGGAAAGGCCTATCTGCTACCAGAGACCCTAAAGACAGTTTATAAATACGTAAATTAATAACTTTAATGTGAAATATTTGCATATATGAATTATAGTAATTTACAAGAAGAATACTCATAGGTATTTGTAATAGTAAAAGCATACTTGCTAAGAGGCAATCATAGATAGGTTTATTGACATTTAAAAACATAGAAAAATGCTATATATAGCAACAAATACTAATTTAATAAAACTAGTACTATGCTTCCTTTGCTAGTAGAAGCCGAATTGCCAATTACACTCACTTATTGTACATAAATTGAATGGGCAACAATCTCAATGTACAGTTATTGTATAGCTTTTAGGTAGAATAGTTGTACATATATATGATGGAAATTAAAATGTAAGGACTGTGTTGAGAAAAAATATCGGCATTAACATTTGGTATTTTTAAAAATTATTTTTGACAATTTTATTTTGAAGAAAAAATTTCAATCTCCTATCGCCATTATTCCTTCTTAAATTCTGTAGCCGTGGAAAATGCTATGTATTGAACAATAATATTTTAATATTATTATGAGGTGCCGAAAACAAAGTTAAAATATGCTAACACCAAAGACAGTTTCACGGTGGTGAGAGAACAGGTAACTTAAGGACAAGGGCTGGTGAAGGCCTTGACTTAGAGTAACTGGTAACGAGTAATGGGCTTAGTAACTGTTTCCCTTTAGGGTGTGGCCAGTTAAAATTATTTTTACACCCCCCAAAGTTAAGAACCAATCAAAATCATCCTTGCCCCACCCAGAATATTTGTATAAAATCTCGTGGTTGAAAAAGCTCGAGGTCTTATGTGTTTTTTTCGGCTTTGAGGACTGAAGAGGCAGCTTGGCCTACACAGATTGGGGAGGAGGGCGTCTTGGCAGAGTTTAGACCTGAGCTTGACAAGATGACCTCGGGCCAGTAGATGCAGATATGGAACGGCCAATACAACCTAACCACATCATATTTAGAACCATAGCTAAGTTTTTATTCTCAATAATAGATTTACTAATCTGAAAATCTGAAATCATACCTTTACAGTCAATTATGAAATTCAATGAATCATGTATTTAGTTTATTATAAATAGTATTTGCACATTAAGATTAATACATAATTTGTATATATAGTGTATTAAACATAAGAATAAAATCATTTTTTATAATAATAATAAGTTATTTTTAATTCATCCCCCCACTTATATCATGATGATCACAGGTAATGTTAGTAATTATAAAGCATGATAAACACAAACCAGTCTTTGAGAAATGAAATCGAATTCATTAATCCTGGACCAATCAATATATTATAGATTCAAATTTGTTTAACTAATTTTATTTTTATTATTAATTTTTATTAAACATTTCTGGATAATTATCCCGTGGCATTCCGAAATAAATTTCTCCCCCTCCCCCTAAAAACATAATATTTCAACAGGTTATTGAAGATAAAAGACAATAGCATATGATCAAACATGAAAAATAATATAAATGGTAAATCAAATTTTCCAAACTTGAAAACCTGTATCTCGTAATCTATTTAATTTACCGAGTCGTTTCTGGTCTTAAATTGTAGCATATTTAATCTAGTTTAAAAATGTATAGAATGTTTTTTGTCGAAAAGGTGCTCGTTCATGGCCAAAACGGGGGGGAGAGGGGAAAAAACGAAAAAAAGTGCGAAAATGTAGTTTTTGGAATCCCCAGTTTTGGGATTCCAGAGTTCCAACTTCTACCTCCTTCGATGCAACTTAGATCCTCCCTTTACATGACAAGATTACTGTGCTATTCATCCTTCGTTTCGACTCTAATTATAGGATAAACTATCAGAGCCTATTTTCCTTTCGCACTAAAGGCTAAGATATCTACAAATCTCACTGAGTCTTCCGAATCAAGGCAATAAACTTTGAGGAAGTGTGTATACTATTTCTTCTCAAGGAATTCAAAACAAAATTTAAAAAAGCTTTAAATTTTTTTTCAGTTAATATCAATATTTTTGCAGGGGCTCTTGGACTATATGTCGTTCATGTATATATATATATATATATATATATATATATATATATATATATATATATATACATATATATATATCAATCCCTTGTATGGTGTATATTGTTAATAATGGTTAGGGTTTCTTTATGAAACAAACACAGACAATAAAGAAACGTTTATTGTGGAAGAACACAACAAACATAGAAGCCATATCGAGGGAGTATATATTGTTGTGATCACTGACGTCACATCTGACAGTGTTGCCAGTAACAGTGTTGTAGGTAGAATATACAATAACAAATAGCATCAATTAATTAATCCTAACACACCCCCTCGATTGAAGCTTTACATAGTTGAGAAATTTATATAACTAAAGATTTAATCGCAAACATTAATTAATTATTATTTTTTTTTATATTTAACAGTATATTTCTAAATTTAACAAATTTTTCTTAAGATGTTAATTTGGAGTGCTCGTCTGCGCTAACTTTGAACTACGGCCATTTTCGGTATTTTAATTATAACTAGATTTTACTCCCATCAATCTGGCCACTATGCATTTATATTAAAATGAAAACTTTATTCAATAATGATTAATTTTCGTTCATTTCCTTTTTTTTCTAATAAAAGTTTAGTAACTCAAATCTATTATTAAAAAGGTTTTGATTCTACTTTTATTTTAACAATTATCATAAGATCGTATAACTAATTCAATTATACATTTACTTTGGTCGATTCAGCCTGAGATTCCTTACATTCAGCCCTAGAAATTTGTCATTAAAGTCCAAATCCTAACATCCTATTTACAAAATTATATTTATAATTGATTATATACAATTTATTTACACTTATCCAGAATGAGTAACCTGACGATGGTTTCGCCAAGACCCATTAGCTCGTCAACGGAAGGGGCGCTAAATTAAAAACCCCTTTTTGCCCTCTGGAATGGGACAAAGACTACCGTGTCTTAAAATGAGATATTAAACGGCCTGCCCTAACATGGTTCAGAGCCATATAACCCTTGTATATATACATCATCTTTTAAAATAGGAATGTGATTGGCTCTGTTTCTGTATTCCTATAATAAACAACCCTTCTATTTTAGCTGGTTCTATCACCTTCTACTTTCGGAGACGTCCGTTCTGATATCGAGGGTTCGACTAAAGCTGGGGGGCCTATATATTCTTCTTTATTGGCTATTAGCTCATGGATCTTCTTACCGCACTGGAAAAATACTTCCTTGGCCTTTATGGAACCTAATACAAAACATTTTATCGTTTCTTCTTGGCCTTTTCCAATTCCTGTTTCTTTTCCACCGATTTCTTTAATATTTCCTCTAAGATTTTCAGATTCATCATTTAATGTAGAGATTACGTTTTCTTGCTCCTCGGAGATAGTTCCTTCTTATTCAATTTTTCTATACTTGCCTAAGGAGGATACGGCTAATACAGGTTCGTCAACTATACTCACAATAGGTTCCTGTTTATATTCAAGACTTTCATTACCTTGATCTTGAACGTTTTCAATGTCACTTGTTTGATTATCTATAGTAGAAAAGGGAATTCTCTGATCATTATTTTTAGTTATGATTTTACCCAACTTCTCTTCTAGCTAATTACCTTTTTGATTACATTTCAATTGGTGTTCTTGGCTGACCTCTTCTAACCCCTCTGTCTTTTTATAATGATTTGAACCTGCGAGTTTGGGACAGTTTATTTTGAAGTGAGTTCTATCACCACCTCGATCCTGGTTAGCTATGAAAGAAGTTTCATCTTGCAATGAATGTGCATTACCTTCAATTTTTAACTCTTCACCCAGTAGTCTCGCCTTAACAAAATCCACTTTTACATCTTTAATTGACTCTAATGCTGTCACAGTTGTACCAAATTCTTCAGGCAATGTCAAGAATAAGTGACATATTTTATCAGTTTCATCATATTGTGTTCCCATGTCCACTAATTCTCTAATAATATTATCAAATTTCAAGAAAGGATCTTCCATGCTGTCAACAACAGAATATTTTAGATTAAGTAACTTACGCCATAATGTCAGTTTAGAAAAAGCTGTAGTTATCACAAAATCATCCTTTAGGGCCTTAATCATTAACTTTGTAGTTGTACAATCCTCCACTAAGTCAAGATGTTTGTCAGAAAATCCTTCAATAATGATAGCTTCAGCTTTGGCATCTTGTAACAGGAATGTTTTCTTGATATTTTCATCATTCGGAATTTCTTTTGTTCACATATCGTTAATCTGTTCATTTTCCAATATTGCATTGATTCTAAATTTCCAATTGCTATAATTTGACCCGACTATAATAGGAATTGCAGGACTTACTTTGGCCATTACTTCTTTGTTCTAATAATCACACACGATTACGCGAGGATCATAAATAATTGTCAGTACACTGGGCCCATAACCTGTTAATAATGTTTAGAGTTTCTTTATGAAACAAACACAGACAAAACAGAAATGTTTATTGTGGAAAAACACTGCAAAACATAGAAGCCATATCGAGGGAGTATTCATTGTTGTGATCACTGACGTTACATCTGACAATGTTGCCAGTAACAGTGTTGTAGGTAGAATATACAATAACAAATAACATCAATTAATTAATCCTAACATATATATATATATATATATATATATATTATATATTATATATATATATATATATATATATATATATATATATATATATATACAAGGGGTTGAAACGTTTATGGAACCTTTTTAAAGAGTTCCATTTTAAATGTGAATTGTTTTAGGAAAAAATAAATCCGGTTTAACAGTTTCTGTGAAACTTTGAAGAAAAAAGTTCTAAGGAACATTTGTAATAAAGTTCCAGATTTATGGTAAAATTTGAAGTTGTATTTATTCATGCTCTTGAAAAAAGTTCAGTAAAATAAAAAATAAACAGTAATTGGAATTAAAATTTGTCTTAAATGAATTACATATGATTCTGATGTGTATTTGTTTGAGAAACTAAGGATAAAAATCATTTTTTTAGATCTATAAACCTTTAAACTTTTTGTGAAATAAAGGTTGTGTAAACCTATCTTTACTAGGGAAAAAAAAGAACTGAAAACTGTGATTATAAAAATAAAAAAATGAAACATTCTTTGTCCACAGGTAAAACGATCATACCCATATTGTTGATTCACGGTTGGCTTGGCTCTGTATCTTCGTTCTATAAACTAATACTACAGTTGGTCAAGCCCAAGGAATCTTATGATTTTGTATTTGAAGTAATAGCGCCATCAATACCAGGTAGTGGTTTTTCAGAGGCTCCGCAAATACCAGGCCTTGATCCTGTACATGTTGCTTCAATTTTTCATCGCCTCATGTACTTAGTAGGGCATGAAAAATACTATATCCATGCAGCAGATTTGGGCGCACATATTGGTCAAGCCCAAGCCCTATTATATCCAGAATGGTAAGCAACTATACTTGTCTAATAAGGAGTGGATGAATTATAATAAGCTATTTCTGGTTGGATCCTAAACTATTTTCTTCTTTAAAATTCAATCTTTTATCTAAGTAGAGTCCAGGTTACCTTGCATAGTTCTTTGAAGGCACTGGGTTATTGGCAATCGTTATGGGTGGGAATGAGGCTTTCTAAGAGAGAAACTAACGTGAGTGGATTTATTACTATATATTTTGATTTGCCATTTTTCAAACCACTTTTCAAGATCATGGAGGTGGTTTTAAAGGACAATTCATGCGATAGTAGAATTTTTATATGATGATAGAATAACAGTGTCGTCAGCAAAGTAATAAATAGTGGTACTAGGGTGCGCAGGGATATCAGAGGTGTATTTAGAATAGAGGATTGGGATTAAGACACTACCTTGTGGTAAACCAATGTGTTGGGTGAAAAAGGAAGAAACAGAAAAATCTATTAAGAAAGTAGGATTAAAGAATTAAAAAATAAGTTGAAGGTAAATGGGTTTTAGCCCCCCCCCCTTTTAGTTTGGGGTTTAATAGACCCTTGTGCCAGACACTATCGAATGCTTTTTCTATGTCGAGAAAAACCGCAGAGCAATATTCCTCTTTTGTCAAAGAAACAGAGATAGCATCTACTATTCGACGGCACTGTTGCACAGTAGAGTGATAACAACGATAGCCAAACCTGTGATTTGGTATCACTTCACTACTTTCTAGAATGGGCTTTAGATGGTTCGGGTGTAATTTTTCAAATATTTTTCCCATTAAAGAAAGAAGTACTATAGTACGATAAGATGACGGAGTAGTGGTTGGTTTTGAAAGTTTAGGAATCATTTTAATTGTGGAGAGTTTCCAAAGCCAAGGAAAATAGGTAGAGCGTAAAATGGAGTTATGTATATGTGTAAGAAAGAGAACAGCTTTTCGAGGTAGGTGTCGAACAATAAAGGGAGTGATTAGATCATATCCAGGAGCTTTTTTGTTTGGTAGTCTGTTTATTTCTTTGTAAATTTCTTTTGGATGGAATGCTGGTGGTGGTAGTGATAATGGTAATGGTGTTGTCAATTCTTCTTCTATTGTGTTAGTAAAATTATTGTCCTGTATTGTGTTCGTCCTAAATACTTGTGCAAGATATTCAGCAAATTCATTGGCTTTTTCTTCGCTTGTTATCGCCCAGGTGTTGTCTGTACGTCGGAGAGGGTGTTCAAGATCTTTTTCTTTAGTATACGCCTTGTTGTTGACCATATTGATCCATTTCTATTGTTTATTGTGTCTACATAGTCTTTATAGCTGTCGTTTTTAAATGTTGATAGTTTTTCGTGAAGTTTTCGAGTTAGTTTGTTGAGAAAAGAAAGAAAAGGTGAACAATAAAATAAATTGGAAGGAGAGGATGGGAGTCGTTCTTGCGCCATCGACCTTGGAGGGGAGGGATGGGCACTCCTGAGTGCCTCTACTGGCCCTTAACCAGTTAGTCTGTGGGCCAGACCCCCTTACCGTGCTGGGAAGGGGCAGGGATCCTGAATTTCCATCTACGATTGGGGGAGGGGAAGGCGTGGCTCGGAGTACTTGGTGATTGAATTTTGTAAATATCGTATACAAAAATGCTTGTTATTTTTATTAGTTTAGTTTCTTTTTGCTTATATACATTTACTTTTAGTATAATATCAATCTGTTGTTTATTGTTTTTTATTTATTGTACATAAAGTATGAATGTGCTCTCTGAACATCATTATAAATGTCCTTAATTGGGACAGATTGTAATATTTCTCAATACCTTTAATAAAAAATGTTGTATATAATGTTTTATTATTGTTTAGTTTTTATCTTGCTTCTGAATATTTCATCTTATATGTATATTTGTGCCCCGGTGACAAACGACACCATGTCCATTTTGCATAAAATAATTTTTGGACTAAGTAACAAATTTTAATAGCTCCAAGTTATGGATAATTGGCTACCTGAACGAATACCAAAATGTGACAGGGTGCACTTAATTCCGTAGTACAGATTTAGTAACTAAGAATATTTAATAGCTCAAATTTATTGAACATTGGCTATCATCAACAAATATCCAAACGGACACGGTGTTCTTTATCTCCGGGATACAGATATATAGTGTGAATGTACTCTTATCTCACTATAACACTGTAACGGACGACAGCTAACACTTTGAAGTTGAATGCGGAAAAGATGAAGGCAATCTTAATAGGCTCCAATAACCTCCTTAAAACTGTTCCTAATATTCCTCTAATATAATACATCCTCTGTTCCTACATGATAATCCCATTTAAATTTTACCTCACCATCAAAAATCTTGGAATAACCTTTGATAAAATGCTTTCTTGGGAAAAACCATGTATCCAATATCTCCCTCTGTACCTTTTCCACCTTTAAACGTCTAAATTACTTCCGTCACCAATTTACCCTTGAAACTCGTAGGCTCCTAGTCACTTCCCTAATATTTGCCCACTTTGACTATTGTTGCACGTTATATGGGGGGGAGGGGAGTCTCTGAGGATTTCGAGGTGAAACTAAAACGTTGGATAAATTTCTTTATACGATTCATCTTTGGGATCCCAATGGACGCTTCTGTTTCCCGTTTTTATGCAGAGTTGAAGTGGCTTTATCCTTCCTACCGTCGTAAGTATTTCCTAGCATCCTTCCTCTTTCATGTCATCCAATCCCGCTGTCCTTTATACATCTTCGAGCTCCTTCAATGCAAATCCTCTATTCGTTCCCGCAATACTCGTTCCCAGTCTTCAAATTTATAAACCGAACCGCTGCTTTCGACAGATCGTTCATTATCCGATCATCATCCGAATAGAACTCCATCCCTTACCACATCTATCAACCCAATACCCTTCCTACCTTTAAATCCATCTTGTTCAATCATTACTTATCCGTCCGGTCCCCATAAAATTTTAAATATACACTACTGTAAATATGTATATAAATTATTAGATCGTTCTCAATTATTTTTTACTCCATGGTTTTTTCATTTTTTTTATTATTAACTGATTAAAATTAGTATTAACCTATTTTTTTTTATTATGACTATTTAATTATTCTGTATTTTTGTTTATGCATCTCCGAGGTTCCTTAGCCCACATTTCTGTCTTTCTGTATTATTCTAAAAGGACTCGTCCCAGAATAAATAAAGTATTATTATTACTATTATTAATTATAACCATTGTGCATGTGACAGAATGTTATATTACTCAATAAATAACAAAAAAAAATACATTGATGGTATAATTATTTTTTAATGTTTTAGGATTAAAGGTTACCATTCAAACATATGCATAACGGGGGGATTAGTTCCAATTGTGGCTTGGTATATGGCGATTGAATTTCCCTCACTTTTTGTTGAAGAAGAAAGGGTTAACAATATTCTAGAAGGAGCGGGGGAAAGTGCTCAGGAAGCCTCTTATTTTATGTTAAATGTTAATAATCCAGACTCTATTGGTAAGTAGTTTATACATATACATAATATAAGTACATTGACCTTAATAAATATAATCACTGTTATCTCAAAGAAACTTTTGTCAACTTTACGGCGGTGTACGTAAAATTTAATTAAATTTAATAGTTTGTAAGCAATTCCTTCTTATTTAATAAAAAATGTGACCACCTTTAAAAAAAAAACACAAAATTAGCCTCAACTTCTTTGCCGTTCGGAATAAGCTCATTTGAGCTTCGCAAGGGTAGTCGCGTATCTGTTGCTACGAAAAACATTTGCGATGTTTATCCAAAAGCACTAGATGTTCGAAACTGCCAAAAGTGGTTTTTCAAATCCGGTAATTTTAATGTTTCCGATTCGTATCAATCAAGGAAGACCAACAACAACCTGTTAAGGGCGGAAGTCGAAGCAAATCCGTGTCAGACAATCAAGGAATTGTCAGTCTTAGCCAACCTTGTTCGACCATCCAAGAACATTTGCATCAGATTGAGGAACCAACACACCTCAACTTTTTCAACAAACCTTCAACTTTTTATTTATTACTGACTGCATCTCCATCCAACTTCTGTCCAGTCATAATAGAACACCTAACGGAATTATTAAAATTTTCTTTATTCTTTGCTTTTTACATTTTGCTCAAAAACCAATTGTTTTTTATCGATCCTGCATTGAAAATTTTCAGACTAGATGGCAAAAGGTTGTTGATAATGAGGGTGATTACATCAGTGATTAAAAATAAAAACTCTTGTGAAATTTATGTGATTGAATTTAATCTAAGAAAACGACATTACTTTCCAGTCCCACTAATAATTTAATCCTTGTTATCTTTATTTTGAATGATTTTTGACTTGATCATTTTTTGAAAAAAAAAAAAAAACACTGTTTAATGAGACCTCACCACCACCCAGACCTGGGAGGTGGCAAGGTAAACTCCTTTTGGTGGACATACTCGCCAAAGGATGTGGTCTGGACTCTTAAACCCATTAATGTGTAAATATTGTAAATAATAGATAATTAGCAGAACGTTCCGTCCCCGTTCAATGAAAGTCACAAGGCCTTCTGCCACATGTGTTACCCTTAGTTATCCCCAATCCTTAAAATGCCCTCGGGCAGTGGAAGGAATTTGTTACTTGTATATATTGTATTGTAATGTATACTATATATGTAAATTGATTAAATAAACATTTTGGAGGGTTAGAAAAAAAAAATTGTTCATTTTTTTAGCCTTGCCTCGTGTCCTATTTTATTTAATAAATAATTCTTTTTATTCACTTAATTATAATATCAAATTAATTACTATTATATTATAACTACTGTGAAGGAATCATTGATCATTAAACTAATTGTAGGAGAAGTTGTTGTGAGAGTGCAGTAATTATTGAAGTAATAAACACACATATAAATAAAAATTATATTTTGTAATAAAATCTCAATTTTCTCCTTTTGTGTAACTTCTACACCTATCGCCCTGATGAAGGCCTAATATTCAGGCATATATTAAAATAAGTACTGATATTTTTTATTTATTATTGACTGCATCTTCCTCAACTGATTCGATTTCTGTGTCCTTACGGGACACCCTGTATAATATGGTCTATTATAATTGTGCATAAATTATTTTTTGTTCTATATTCAGAAAGTAATAATATAATAATAATTGTGTATAAATTACTCTTGTAAATTATTCTTTGTAATGAGCTATCACACAAAATTGTATCTTGACACGATACACAATCGTAGGAAAATACACAACGGCAAAAACCCTAGGGAACTTTCAATATAGGCAAAATATTTGAAAAACAGAATTTATTATAGCATGTCGAGCTATCTGAATAAATACACAATAAAAAAACTTTGATAGGACAAACCGCAATTTAAATCAGGTTATTGATTGAAGGTTACAAACGTAATTTATTTCTCTCTCCAAATCTATAGAATTATCACAAGTTTAAATCAATTAACTGCATGTTAATTTCTTTCATCTCTTCCATATTCGTGAGTTAAATAAGTCCAATCAATAGAAGTAAAATTACTGGTGCAGCGGATGACGGAACCTTCGGCTTCAAACGGTTCACCAGCTGAAGTCAACCACGATAATACACCAGAATCTATGTCCTGGGAAGTTGTGTCTGGATGAAAAAGTTGGTCGCTAAATGACATGTATCTTCAGACAGAGATCCACGTCATAAACAAATAAAGGTTAGTGATACTATTACTACTAACAATCGATTCGAAGTTTTATCAAATACTCCGGAAGATAGACAGCCAGCAAATAATAATCCCATTATTATTAGACCTCCACCTATTCACATAAACGATGTGAAAGACTACATGGCATTAGTAAGCTATCTTCACAATGAAGGTGGCCCTAACAGTTTCAGGTTGAAAACGTCTATGAGAGGAGTCAGCGTGTATCCTGAAAATGTAGAAATATACCGTAGGTTAGTGACCAGTCCTAGAAGGGGTGGAGCTGATTTTCACACATATCAACTCCAGGAAGAGTTAATAGTTAACGCCTCGAATAGTTATTAAAAATTTACACCACGCCACACCTCCAGCGACCATAAAACAGTGCCAACTCCCAAGGACCACATCCTGCTAATTATAGAGGTTGCGAAACTCTGAAAGAGCTTAGGAAGACCCGCAAAAGAAACCATATTCTGCAGAGACCTCTTAGAGTTCAACCCCCACCACCAGAACTACACGAGTTCCCACCACTGCTTCAGCCTCAATACCCTCATCCGATTCACTCAGGACCAGAACTACTGCAGCAGAGACAGCAACGAAAACCAGCATCGGCAACAAACCAAGAACAAAGACCTAATGGTATGAGTAGGGGCAATGCCCAAACGCTCCCTACTATTGAAACCACCTCAGGTGATATACATTAATTTTTTTTTTTTTTTTTTTTTTTTATTGAAAAATATTACAATCTATCTCAAGGACATTTATAATAGTGTTCACAGATCACATTCACACTCTATGTACAGTAAAGAAAATAAATTATACAGAAAAATAATATATATACAATAAATAAGAATAAAATAAACTAAAAATAAATGAATAAAAAGAACACATACATACCTATATACAATATTTACAATTTGGTGAGTGAACTCCAAACCAGACTTGTCTCTCCAAGTGTGGAGGGAAAAGTATGGCTCCAGGAGATCCCAGCACTTCTCTCTCAACCGCGTCACTGGGGCTAAACCCAGTGGAGATTGAGCAAGAGTGCTTAAGCCACATACACTCATGTCGTGAGTGGAGAATCTGGCCATTGCCAGAACTCCAATATTTACAAACTATAAAAGGTCGCGGGGCCGATGCCGTTTTAACCTCCTTGGAGGATTATATGGATGGGTGGTGCTGGATAGAGATTGAGCAAAGGGATTTGAATGATGGGTAAGGTTCTGGTGGAATTTGGAGAATTTTGATGGGATAAGGTCTAGGACAAATGGGATATTAAGGTCATGGTGTAGGGTTTTGTTAGTTACATAGAAAGGAGCATCGACTATTGTTCGAAGGACTTTGGATTGAAAGGATTGGATGCGTTTGATGTTCGAAAATTTTGCTGTTCCCCACAGTTCAAGTCCGTAAGTCCAGATAGGTTTCAATATTGTCTTGTAGATCAGTAACTTGTTTTCAATGGAAAGTTTAGATTTCCTGTTTAGTAGCCGGTATAGTTGGCCATATCGTCGGTTTAGTTCCTGTCTTTTAAGTCTAGTATGAGGGTTCCACGTTAGTCGTCTGTCTAAGAGAAAGCCAAGGTACCGGACTGTGTCTGAGAAAGGAAGCTGGATGGAATTAAAGTGTACTGGTGGACAGGAACTGCGTCGGAGCGTGAAGGTGATGTGTTGGCATTTGGATTCGTTTACTTTAATACGCCATTTATTACACCAGTGCTCAATCAGGGAGAGGTGTCTTTGAAGGTTTGAGGATGCTATATCAGGATCTGAGTCGGATGATAGAATGGCGGTGTCATCAGCAAAAGTTGCCAGGAAGGTATCGGGATGGACAGAGATATCGGCGGTAAAGAGGATGTAAAGGACGGGACCCAATACGCTCCCTTGAGGACCACCTGCCTCAATTGGATACCAATGCGAAAATTCAGTACCGCAACGAACTCGTAAGGTACGATCTGAGAGGTAGGAACGGAGAACAAGATACAAGGACTGAGGAAGATAGTTTTTCAGCTTGGAAAAAAGCCCGGCGTGCCATACCCGGTCGGAAGCTTGAGCTATGTATAGAAATGCACCCGAGCAATATTGCTTGCTTTCCAATGCTGCGGAAATATGATCAACCACTCGGAGTCCTTGTTGGACTGTAGAGTGTTGTGAACGAAATCCGAACTGATGGGAAGGAAGATTTTGGGATTCTATAAAGGGTAGGATGCGTTTAAGGAGGATCTTTTCAAAGATTTTTGAGAGAATCGGAAGAAGGCTAATTGGTCTGTAGGACGTTGAGGTGTTGGGAGGTTTGCCTGGTTTCGGAAACAGGATAATAGTGGAATGTTTCCATAAAAGAGGAAAGTGGGTGGTTCGTAGGATGCTATTATATATGTATGTAAGGAATATGACAGCTTTAGGAGGGAGTTGTCTCAGGATCTAAAAGGTAAGTACTACTGCTACAGATCTCTTACTTACTGACTAGCCTAGGATTTTATGGGGGTATATATAGGTAGAGGAGAGGGAGGCTGCTCAGAATGTCAAGTCAGCATAGTTCGTTTCCATAACTATTCCCCCCTTAAAAAGTGAGGTCCTCCGAACTAGGATGCTTGTTTTTCGGTAAGGTAGGAATGCCACGCTCTAGATCTGGCGTCGCAAAAGGATGATAGCTCGATGGGATTGCTGATAGGTGGGTGTTCAGGAGTTACAATGTTTGTTAGAGGTGTGGGGTTGTTAGTCTTATTTTTAAAAATGGTTTTAAATTTATAATAGTAAAATAATATATGGTGAATAAATAGATATATACATATTATCAAAGTAAGATATAACATAATGTCAGA